TAACAAATCCGTTGGCTTAATGTAAATGACCAGTATTACTTCGTTCAATTTCGCTAACGTAGTAATACGCCTCACTAAAGAGTGAGGTTATCGCTATTTTCTTAAGAAAAACGGGTAATTATAAACATTGCTGGGGATTTTCAATACCATACGCTTTTCCTACCAGGATCATTTTTATCTTCGGTTATTTAGTTTCGCAGGGATTGTCGTTGGTTTCTTCAAACAGCCCTAATGTTTGAGCGGCTCCTGATGTAGATCTCCGTCCCACAGGTTGATGCAGCTTTATCTTCACTTTAATGGTCATTCAACGCTTTTTCCCGGCCTCCCATACTGCGCACAAAATCGTTTGTGTCTTCCCAGCTAGATGTTTCTTCAATTTGACAATTATTCTCACTTTACAAAGGTCCGATTCGCTCTACACTTAAATGCTGCAGTCATGCGTGACGAGGTAGAGTTTTATCCACTTCCCTATCAATTCTTGATCGGGTTCAATATAGGGCTTTTCACTCGATCAGTGACTTATCCTTGACATATAACTTACAGTTTCTAGCTCACCGCCGAACAGTTTCTCCCTTATTCGTATTCTAGCGCGACTACGCTATTTTTGTTGAACCAAACCTATTTATTCCGTTCCTCGCTCACTTGTTACTTTTCGTGGGCCCCGTACACGATCATTCAAAGTGATTATTTCCCAGCATCCCACTTCCAGTTTCCAGTAATCTTTCTTAATAAGAACTGCAAAACTGTTCAACATGCTTCTTTTTTCCATCTTCCCTCCAACATCACCGTTAAGCACAGGATCAGTGATCTGCCTCTTGCTTAGATTGGCGGTCTAATAAGAGAAAACTGTCCAACACCATTGCATTACAATTCACAGACGAAATGGAATGTAAACTGGGACTGATTCTTGCATCGCATTCGTGCCTGTTCTGTCAGTTTCCTAAGCAGAGATATATCAATGTGTTGACATAAGTAACAGAGCAGTAGAGTGTTCAAAACGGGCACAAATGTTCCGATTAGAATACGGATTTGGATTGAAGTTAGTCCAGTGCGCAGTAGGGTGGTGGTGGTGCAGTGATTTAGTTGCTCTCACCGACATGCTTTGAACCGAGGTTCGAACCCCGCCACAACCACCCAACTTTCGTGGTGGGCATCTTTACTGTCGCCCGGTTCGATACCACGCCTAACCTAGCGGGGCGTTATGTGGTTCGCCCCTCCATGTCCCGGTGCTTAGGTTGCCAGTTATCATCACTGAACAGCAGGTCCTAGGCGACTTTGGGGTCCACTACGTCTTTTGTTCATCACACACTGGTGTGTAATAAAAAAGGATGAGTAGACATTGAGAATGCGACATGCCCAACAAACTGTTAGGAATCAAACTGTTGACATGTGTTCTGTTGATGTCCTTTAGTTGCAATCATCATTTTACTACTAAAAGCAGTCCTTTCGAAACCCCTGGTGCAATATGTCCTCCCATTGATTACTGTCTAATGCAAATCGTTGGAACTTAGTCGGTTTGTACTTGTGTTTATAGGAAATCGTGGTCAGTGAGGCATATGAATCCTTGTCTGCTAGTGAGTAGCTCTAAAGAATTATTTATAATTTCGGATTTCTAGCTGGCACTGGCTCGGCATACACACAGCTGACTAACAGTCAATATTAAGGAAATAGACAACTGCTAATCGAAGGTTACCAGCAAACGAACGGGAAGCCGTGTAAGTCACTGATCGTCTGGCANGGCAAGTATTGTAATCGATTCCCATCACCGTCTAACTTTTCCACTTTATCGCACCCCATGGCAACCCTTTCTCCCTTTCTAAAGTTGACCGTACATGAAGGGTGTAAAATCCTGCACTTGTGGGACTCAACACAAACTACGGAAAAATGGGCTAACCGCCTGCACCACTCGATCGATCGTTGTCTCCCAGGTCACCTGTCACTCCGATCAAGCGCAAACTGGGGGTCTTCTGTTGTAGAATTAATTACTCTGAAGTCACTTTTAACAGTCTCAGGTGTACCGTCCGCCTAAATCATGTTCCAGAGAAATAATAGCGTTAAGGTACCTCAGAATGCCTGTCTGGTTTGACCGTTTGTCGTCATATCAACATCCATTTTTTATCTGAGATAATATCGTGGGGTGTGTAGCTGAAGGTACCACTTTTCACCTGCATAAAGGCTTAAATGTAATGCGTGATACACGCCCAAGTGAGTTTTATTTTCATTTGCAAAGCCGTCTTTTCGAATGCCCTTCCTATTCTCTCTTCCTTTGTAGGCCAGTCTGGGTCTGGAACACAGCCTGGTGCTGACCGACACATCTCAGGTATACGTATTTGGTGCAAACATTTGGGGACAATTGGGATTGGGGTATCGATCGGAAGAGCCGGTTTCTGTACCTCACCAACTGTTGTGCCTTTCGGGCCTACCGATCCGATGTATTGCTGCCGGTGGTCATCATTCCGTGGTCTTGACCATGAGCGGTAGCCTATTCACCTGGGGTGCAAATAAGCATGGACAACTAGGTCTTGGCCCGGTGGAAACGGTTGGTCCGACAACAAACGAGCACTACGGCGGCCGATCCTCGATTGAGGGAGCACAGAAACATTGCATTTCGGTGCCCACTTTGGTTCGAGGTCTAAGGGGCATGGAAGTCGTCCATGTTGCTTGTGGTGAAGCGCACACAGTTGTTCTTTTGCGGAATGGAAATGTGTATACATACGGCTCGAATCAGTAAGTGATTTCTGTCTCATTAGTCTCGTTTTATGGTCTGCATTTCAGTAATAACACCCATCCGTGTCTAATTCGCATTTTGCAGGGAAGAATTCATAAATTTCCTCTTTGGTATAACGTTACGAAAGTGCACTAACCACCTGAATAATAATCGTCTACTCTTAACGCCACCAGATCACTACACCTCCGATGTCCGTGTCCTACGCGAGCGTCAATTTATATACATCTGTTGAAGACCGATGATCATGGGCCGAAATCCAGTTTCTAGCCACAAAGCTCTAGATATGTTACAGATTAGCGAATCCCAATCTTTCTTTCACCACACTGGGAGATGTCAGCTACATCTCTTAATGTGATTCAACTCCAGAGTGAGGTAAATCTTTCAACCACTTCTAAAGGAACTATCTAAAAAAGTGAAAACATAGACTCATTTCAACTTGAAGCAGCACTCTGTAGTTTAATGCTGCAAAACATCTGCTATATCAAGGCGCCACAACAGACAGACTTGCTTTGCTTGTCGGCTTTATCTTGATAATCTCCCGCGATAGAATAAACCGGTTTTATCAACAGTTCAGTAAGTGTTATGGGTACGACTGTTATGCCTAACGTCAACCGGGTTTTTGTTGGAGGATGCACCTCTAGCGTTTACACAACCAAATATGACTTACCAAGTTGTAAGGCCTTTTCGCGGTGACGTAATTGCATTTAAACCGCCATCGAATCAAAAATATAATCTCATCCGTCCGGTTTGCCGAAACTGTTTTACACACATGGATGAAACTGCGATCCACCGTGTTCCAAGGAATCCTCACTACTCGATTTAGTCCGCCTACCAAACGGTTCCCTGCGTGTGGCCGCTGCACACACAAGCAACTTCATGTAGCTACGAGCAGGCGACTGCAAATAAGGCGCGCTGCGGTAAGCGACCGTCGGACATACGCAAAACATGTCCTAACCAACGGAGCCCACTGAGCTGGATTCGATGCGCTAGCGAGTTCTTGGTCGATGCATTCCCAAACACCCGACGACTTACTTTTAAGTTACTAACCCGCTCACTCCATCCCACTTGGGCCAGACTACGTAAGTATCGATTGTCGAAAACCACTAGGAGACGGATGTTTTCTACCGCAAATTCAAGGTCTCACAGCCGTAAAGCAGAACTGATCGTATAACGGCGCAGTTTGGTTTTGGGGATGTAGTTTTGCATCGATCTGTAAACAAATTGGTACTGAGGTTAAAAAAACATAAGCGAAGGATAGATTACCGCAGGAAACATCGTACATACTCTTGGGCTGCATGTGGATCTGATCGAAAAAATAGGTATACGAATCACGCGTCTAATTGACCAATAACTCCTATCGTCCATTCGAGTAGGTAACTCACAATCACAGACAGTTCACCTGCCTCTTGCTAGAAGACTTGAAATCGAAGTTTATTCACTCCCATTGGTCATCTAGTTGCCTGTGGTTTATCGACCTGACTGCAGCCCCAAAATTACAAAATTTATGGTGTATTGATTACATTATCGTATACCTTTGAGCCACGGTGTTAGGTATGGTGATTTGTACCACTTCATCTGCAAAAAACCATATTTGCTTCACACATTTGGTGGACAACCACAGATGATTGACGGTTTCGGATTTTATGGGATAATATAGTTTTCCAAAATCCACATCGGTGAATGCGTTCTTCTCTAGTTTCCTATGGAACCTTTGCGTCATTGACTCGTTCACAAGGCAGCGAGAATTAGGTCAATACGTCCTCAAGGTATCCTGTTCAAGTTCATCAGCTGAAGGTTTCTGTAATAATTGTGTTATGCAATGCCAACCCAATCTGCAGCTTGGGGAGTGGATTTGAGGCGAACACGTTTCGAAATAATCAATATGATGATTCTGTATCAGATGTTGTGGGTTAGAAGCGTGTAACCTCAGCCCACTCGACGCTGGGGCCGATTTTCAGTGATTTTATAATTAGTAATATATGTGACTGTACGAAATTCCCCAGAAGCACACGACCGGTTTCGCGGTCCTTGTCGCTCGTCAGGTATGTGTATCTGGTAGTTTTCTGTCTGGTCATTCTTACACTTGAACTTCCGATGTGAACCTTAAAATGCAACCCTAATCAGCAGCTCGGGGAGTGCATTTGGGACGAATGAGTCTCGAAAGAATCAAGTTCAATCACTTTGGTTGATCCGTATACTTCATGGTTCACATTAGCTATTTGTGTGTCACTTATTAGATCAGAATGCTTGAGAGAGTGTGTATTTACCGTTAAACTCTGTGCTCTGGCTGTTGGTCATTGAGGTTTGTATTCTTGTCCTCAATTCCTCGAAACACGCTCACGTCCTGTTCTCCTTAGACATTCCTACTTTGGGCATGCACTGCAAGGATCGTTTCACTGTACGATAACGAGGATGATGATGATTTCCGACCTCCACTACCATCTCTCACTTTCCCCACGTCATTGTGCCTTGAAGTAGCCCGTTGTTTGATGATTTCCCCCTTCCTGAAAATCGGTTGTATATAATTTTTATTCAGTGAAACGAAGTAGAACGATTATAAACTACCTCGCTCATTTCCAACGTACAAACTTGCACTAAGTGAAAATCTTCCCCAATGTGTGTTTTTGGAATTTACCATTCCGTCCCCGCCGTTTGAACTGTCATCACTTGTTATGCCCAACGTGTCCGTGGGATTTCAGTAGCCAATGCATCCGATCGTTCATGTTCCTCACAGGTTCGGTCAACTGGGTCAGGGCGATTTGGCAAAGCACATTCCACTTCCATGTGAAGTCACTGAGCTTTCGGGGAATCCGGTCAGTCAAATTGTTTGTGGTCGTATGCACACGCTTGCCCTGCTGCCCAAAAGTGGTTGCATTTATGCGTTCGGTGCGGGTTATGATGGACAGTTGGGGAACGATACATTGACAGATAGTCTAGTTCCGCGACTCGTCCAAGGTGAGCTCATGACTTGGGTTCTGTGTTTTGTCTCCCTCAGTTGCGTGCATATATTCGTGTCCATCGTTAGGCCGATTTAGGCCATTTAGGCCTTATTTGAACTCATTCCCATGTTGAACCACTCGTGTTGATTGAATCCCGTTATTATTGTTTCAGGTCCATGGGTCGCAGAAAACTCAGTTCAAAACTCGCAGCGAACGGGTACCGAGTTTGTCGGTTCGTTTGTGGTCGTGCAACTCTATAGCGGTGGTGATCATGCGTGTGCGCTCGTGCATAAGGCCCCAGTAAGTTTAAGAATATGCACTAACCCGCGTGATTATATAACTTTCTCTCACCTGTCAGGAGGGAAGCTTTCAGATCCTAATTGGTGATTTCGAGCGATGATCCACACACGTTTCTGAAGTAAATTCGCTATCGTGTTCGGAGGCAGTTGCAGTTCAGTTCTCCAACCATGCAATTTTGGTTGCTTCCATTTTCAGTGAAGGGATGTCGGGTGAATAGGAATTTGGGAAGTAGTAACAATATGAAGATCTATAATTTAGTTTAACTGAGGTTGCTAGGGTACTGAGTAGATGAACGAGTGTCACTGTTTACGACACTGGACGAAATGCTGCAGAAAACACTCGATCCCTCAGAAGCAGCTAGATATCGCGACATTTTTGGTTGGAAGCTTTTGGAGTTTATCCTCCGCCCTACAAAACCGTCAGATTGAGTTGGCTTAGTGGTATTTTCCTCTTATCCATTGCATCGCT